ATTTGAAGAATGTGACAGAGTTTTAATTTTTGTTACTGTCTCTTTCTGACATCCTCCCAGGGCGATGTCTTTTTTGCAAATTTTGAAGATCTGCAATCTGGATTAATTTGGATCATCCCCCATCTCAGAATGTTGTCCTTCAGGGCTCTTATTTACCTCAATCACAATTTTCAAAGTTTATCTAGAGTCCTGGATTAACTACCTGGATGTTATCTGAACAGGAATACTTTTAATGTCTCAGTAAGTGCCTTCTTATCTATTTTAGCTCATCACTTAAATGGTGTTGCCTTTGAGCTTATTGAGAACCAAACCAAATGTACAAGCCTTTAGAGATCTAAGATTACCTGATAATTAGGATTAACTGAAATTACTTACGTAGCCTGGAAGAGGCAACAAGTATTGCCATGTAAACTGAATCCTGTAAAGATCAATAGTACTTTAAAATAGATCCTGCTCAATCACAGTACTTAATATGATATTGACAACAAACCTATTTTTTCTCCTCCCATGTTGACCAGTTTCATTTTTTAAAATCCTACGTTGGAAAAAATCCTTCTAAGATAAGTCAGTTTCTTCTAAAAAGTAAGTATAATTTCTTCTAAATAAGAAATGCTTCCTTTGTCTCCATCCTAAATGACAATGTTAGAAGTGATCTCAGAGACTTTCTTTTATGGACTTCAACTGAGTTGGGCATCTGGCCTTTATCCACGAACCAAATAAGAATTTGAAGAACTTCACTGTGCAATTGCTTCCATATTGGCAACAACTTTGGCTGTGTGTGTGTCTGAAGTGAGCAATATGGAACACATATCATGTTTTACCTTCCAGCCTGGGGAGAGGAGATGCTTCCTCCTGGCTGGACAGACCACAGGCATATTGCTCAGGCTTCTCATGAATTTGAATTAAAATGTTGCCTTAAACCTAAACATTCATGTTTATAATCAGATAATTTGTGGCAATTACTTTCTTTGGCCATTTCTGTAAAAGAAGAATAAAGGTTTTTAAAATATTTGTAATTAAATAATTGTTTACAATAATTTGCAGTAAATATTTATTCATTTATTTTAAATGTCTTTTCTCTCCATCCATTTGTTAGCTGTTAAACTTACACATAAACAGATTTCAGATCTACAAAAACTGGATGTGTACTTAGTGCTATATGCAAAACAACCTCTGACTAGATAAAAAAATCTAAATCCAGCTAGACTTCACAGTCACAGATGACTATGGCTCTTTCTTCTGTTGTTAAAGGATTTAATAATAAGATAAATTTTTAACCATGTTAAAGACCTATCATTTTCTCTTGTAAATCCTCCATTTTCTGTAACAAGTATTTCAGTGATATAACAATGGCATAAACCTAGCCCAAAATGATTCTGTAGTCAGATTTTATCCTGAATAAAAGCTAGCCTTAAGCAGAAGCAGCAGAGAACTGAAAGTAGATCTTCTTGGACAGTATTTCATAAAATATGGTTCTCATTCTTTTTCACAAATAAAAAATACTAATAAAAAATTAATGAAGATTAGAAAAACTATTCCTGTTCAGATTTTCACTTTATCTTTTCAATCCCATTCCTTAAATAAAATAATGTCTATATATATTCTATTAATAAATAAACATGAAGTTATTTTTTAAAAAAGAGAAAATGAATGAAAACATGAAGTTCAAGTCATGAAAGAGGAGAATTCTGTAATGACAGCCATGTGTAAACAGAATGGCAGGAGTTTCAAAGTGTGAACAAGTTTTACTTGATTTAGTCATTTAAAATAGATGCTACAGGATAAGGACATTTAGTTCTTCATATGTTGTAGTGAGTTCTCAGCTGTATTACTTCAGCATATTAAGTTGTCTAGTTTTAGCCATTCTCTCCTTACAGAAAGCCTTTGATGATGGGCACAAAGCAGGCTCACCTGTAGAACAGAGTGGCATTTCTGAGATAAAAACATTCTGAAACTAAATCCATGAAATACCAGTGAACTGTAGCGGTTTCCATAATTGGAGCAAAGTGTGAGGTGAACATCTCCCTTATGCAATTTTCCTATTGATCAAACCCAGGGTTCTAGGAACGTACATGAAAGATTGCTTTCAAACTATAGATCATTAAAAATAATTGATTCTCACAGAAGAAATGGACTCTGTGGTTCCAGTTTCTGATTCCTGGTATAATTGTTAATTTTGGCTTCTTGATGAGTAAATAAAGGTAGCAAAGGTTGTAACACAATTGAAGGAAGAAATTTCAGGCAGTGAGCAGTTCCCTTTTGAAAATTACCTGTCCTCGTCCCCTGTACAAGGGAGGATAGGAGATGGACAGCATTAATCTGATTATTCTTCTCTCTTCAAAGCCTTTAAAAGATAAATAATTAGAAATGCAAAACTTTATCAGTACTAGGAATGTGTAGGATGGGAGGCAGTGAGCCCAAATCCATAAAGCATTATGAGGTAAATAACAGGACTATCACTGGAGTTGATGTGGTGTTTACAATGTTAGTATTTAATTGTGCATGCACTTCTTTATGTTAGGCATTAAAAATGGCCCAAGTTCCATAAGCAGAGATGTTAAACAATAAATATATAAATTCAGAGTGTACAGACTCACAAGGAAGACAGAAAAGTAAAGCAATCCACTAAGAATAAGCAGTGGAGGATGAATGTGGGAGAACTAGAGAGAGAGTTAATCAAAGAATTGAAAGATGACAGGGAAGCATATATGGAATGTAGAGAAAAGAATGGAAAAAGTAAAAGATCCCAACAGACCATTGGCACATCAGTCAAAGCATGTGGTAACACAGGAAACAAACAAGAGTATTAGGAAAACCACAGTTTCATACTGAGTTAATGCACTGCTGACATTAATCTGCTAAAACTGGTGAATAATAGAGTTGCAAGTGTATTTCAATCAGGACTGACAGAAATAACCATAGACATGGGTAAATTAATGTGTTAAAAACAAGCAATACAAGGGGGAGACTACTTCTGAACCACTGACATTAAATTTTGAAGTGAGAAGTAAGATGGTAAAAAGAATAGTGCATTGAAATAGTAGCACTTTCTAGTGACTTTTAGGAGTAAAATAACATATAGTGTTTTTTTTTTATGAACTAGCCATGAAAAGTAGAGAGTTATTTGTAAAAAAAAAACATTCATTTCACTAGTTGTTTTCTGCCTTATTTCATCTGTAAAGGTTTCTTTGGAAGTTCCCCACCAACAATCAAACACAAATAGGATCATAAAGAATGGTGCTAATTAATTTAATTTTTAAGGGAAATAAGTTATATTCATTATTCCTATTTTAACATAATCATATTTTCATGTTACTCAGGAAACTCAGGTGACTAAAACCAGGAATTGAACAAAAAGACTCTAACATGGGTGAAATAAGAAACTATTAATGTGCTGGGCATTGTTAGCAAACTCAGTTTGCCTTAACAGATGCCTTACAGGAACATTGTCTCTCCTGGCTGCAGAAGGGGGTATGGCCTAGGAGCGTGTGGGCACGGCTTAATTGCCCACCCATCTTGCTGGGTGCATGGGCTGAGGGAAAGAAAAAAGTGTCTATACACCACAAGTGCATAATTTTGTTCCCTTTCTCCTCAGGAAAGTTTCCAGGACCGACACTGCATGTCTGTCCCTCTCTCACTGCTGCCCATCCCTTCCCAGCTCTCGGGAGAACACAGCTGAGACTGAGCGGAGCTGAGTGGAGCTGGAAGGAACCAAACCTAGAGGAGAAGAGCTGTCTCAGTGTGAATAATCTGTTTTTTTGGGGGTCATTTGGTCATTGTTTTTACTGTCTTGGGCTCAGGGAAGGGGAGCTCCAGCTGCAGAGAACATTCACCGTCTTGTCTTTGTCTCAGGAATAACCGCGTGTCTCTGCAGAGCTGCAGGATTAGCTGCTATCTTGGTTTTTGTCTTGTCAGCCATCTGGAACTGAGTCAAGGTGGTGAACACCTTTTTGTCTATAAATCAACATCTCTTTTGTTATTAATATTGTTGCTGTTATTAGGCATTTCTTATTCTGTTCCTGTTTGTTTTCAGTAAATTGTCATCTCAAACCATAGTCTCTGCCTTTGTCCCTCTCTCACCAGATAGAGTGCATGAGAAGGGAAGCAGCTTCTTTTAATTCCCAGATGGTTTTAAACCACCTTATGATCCAATTCTAGTATTTACAAAAATCAGATTTTCTATTAAAATGCTCAGTGTTCTAGCTGTACTGCTAAAGATTAAGTTTCTTAGTTGACATACGACTTTTAGCAAGCGCTGTCAACAAAGCCCTGTAAGCCTCTCTATTTCTTTGTGCAGGAAAATCTGTGGACAGTTGAAATTGTTGAGGCATCTGAAGTTAGTTAATTACAGAGAAAGTGTTAGGACTCAGTACTGTTCTATATCCTTCAGATGGATGCATCAGAAATTACCCAGCACAGCTGCAAGCAAGTGCTGATAAATTTCAGATCTGTTGGGTGACAAAGCACTCTGTATTCTCACCCTTAACTTCTAGCTGTGGTATTTGGAGCAGTGATGTCAGCAGATCACGCACGTTAAATAACCTTGCAATTTCCTGGGCATTGCCTCATGGAGGACAGCTTCTGGGGATTTTTTCACTAAAATATTTCCCAACTATTTTCTCAGTATCTCTGAGGATTATTTGCCTCAGTTCTTTTCATGTGAAATCCTGCTTTTGTTATCTGCCATATTCCAAACCACCCCATCCAGCTTCACAATAACGTTATAAGTAAAAGGGAAAAGTTTCTAGGGATAATCATGTCTTTTTTTGTTACTAAAGCTATTTTAGGTCATGTATTTAATGGTGCCAGAAATCAAGTTTTGAAACCTTAAATATCTTCAAGAAACTGGAAAAGGGGAAAAAAAGTATGGAGATATATAGAACACTTTTGCAAGTGTTCTTTCTGCCTCTAAGGGGCAAGGATACCTGTTTTCAGGAAAAACAGAAGCCTCTGTGCACAAGAATGGATATAGATGGCTCTTACATAAAAATGCGGTGGGTGGCTGCCAGGCAGAAAGATTACCTGATTTTGTACCTCTGCCCTATCAGAGAACTCTCTGTGCAGGAGGAGCAGAAGAGACTCATGGACACTGTGACTGACAGATAAGACTTTATTTTCCAGTGTGTTGCTTCAACAAAATGTAACTGTCATTCTTCAGTGAATTTAAATGAGAATGATCATGTGAACCTTTATAGGTCCCAGTAAGCTGTAGCCTGTTGCTGCTACTGCACTTTGAATCCCCTGTGAATATGTACAATATGGAAAGAACATTTTATAAACTTAGAAAAAAATCCAGAGAGAATGATTAGAGGCTGTGACATATGAGAAGAGATTAAGACAATTTAATATACTATGCTGCTGCTTGAAGGAAAGACTATAAAGAGTGATATGACTGCATACAAATACCTCAGAGGTAAAGAATGAGAGTTACAGAGGTGGTTATAAAATTATTTACTGTAGTGTCTCTCTACCATCAACATAGGCTATTAACTCTGAGAAATATAAATTGAGTAGAAAAAAAATCAGAAAAAAATCTGGAAATTGAATACGCAGTAGAGGAATATTTAGGTAATATTTTAGGAAGTAACTTTAAAGGGTAAGACTTTTAATGCTTCATCTTGCACCATTAATATCTTTGGGGATCTAAAAAGTGACTTGAATGAAAAATTAAGATAGGGCCCTTCAGGCAACAGTCTGAGCAAGCCAAAGAAGCAGCTAATATGTGAAATTCACTTGCATTAAAGATATTTTAAGAGCTGTGTGTGAGGGAATATCAGAGAAAGGATTAGAAGGGGAAATCCGGATTTTTATGTAGAGGTAGCTGACCTCAAAGGTTTCCAAACTGATTTTCATCAAGTATTTTAAAAGTGTTAGGCAAGGGTTTCTCTCTTCTGAGAGAGAACTCATTATATTCTGTATATTATGGGTGCTACAAGATGTTGATGCTGTGTCCTGTCAGATGCACCACAGGTGAAGGAGGCTTCTTGTTACAACTTAACTGTAGTTAATGCACAACAAGAGTAAAGCTATTGATACATTAAACTCCACATGGCTGCAAAATGGCTTGTTTCTGTAAATATTACTGTGTGACAGACCATTTTCCTGTAGGTTTTTTCCCAGCCTTAGGTGTTTGTACAGCCTAAATGCCAGCTACAGAAAAATAAAGCTGCTGTACAAGGGTACGCTATCAAGAAGATACACACAATTTGAATGGGCTGTTTTCCTTGTGACAGCAATTGCATTTGAAACATTTTCTAATTTTTTATCCTATACTGTTCTCATAAACTGTCATAATTTCAGAGCATGGACTATAATTTCATTTAAATAACTCTAGTTCTAAGACTCATGGTCTAAAACTGGTTTGAATAATAGCCGAACTACAGTAAGACTGAATTTTCCAAATATAGTAAATGCTGACCCTTCTTGTGATTTAGTGGAAGTTTTTGGGTGGCATTAGCTGTATTAGTAGTTTCTAATATAAAGCATAGGTGTGGAAATCATCATCTCTGGGTGGTTGCTAAGAGCTTACACATTTCATGGGAAGATTGGAAAAAATAATGGCATAGAAATCTACTGTGGATTACTAAATACTGACAAACCATTCTGGAAAAGGAAATTATAAACTGCACATTATTCAAAGCTAATATAGTCCTCAGTAGAAGTGTCCTTGCTTTCATTTTACACTTGACTCTAGGCATTCATTTTGGTCATTGTTTGAGAACAGATTTCATGCTAGGTGCAGTGAATATGGCTGCTGTCCTGAGTGAAGAACTTTCATCAGTAAAAGCTACTCACTCTGGTCTTTGTGTATACCTGCAGGTCTCAGGTATTCATCTGTGTAAATCTGTGTATGATTCTCTTTCAGTCCTTACACTGTAAGGTGTCTTGAGAGCTGTTATGTTAACAAGTGGGAGACGGATTTTATAGTGCATGCACAAACAGACCCTGATAGATGACTGGTTTAGTAGGGCAGGCTGATGGAATGCACTGAGTATTTTCCTTCTGTGATGAAAATAATTGTGTGTGAACAACTCTTATTTGCATAAAATATTGATGGATGCTCAAATGCTTCTGTCTCAGGATCTGTACTATAATGTCTTCTGTCTCCATGGCCATAATATGGACAGTGTTGCATATAGTTTTCTTTGGAATCTTTGGAGAACACTAGTTAGCATTCAGGAGAAGGTTAGTGCCATGAGATATAGCCAGGTGCCACTCAGATAAAACAATGTATGCACTTCTTGAAATTTACAGAAGAAAAAAAAAGAAAGAGTGTTGCAAAAGAATACTGACAATAGTCTGTGAACAGATCATAAACTACGATGCAATTAGCAGTACAAGAAAAGAAAACTGCTTCATCAGATTTCTTCATTGGAAACAATTTGACTGCCAGCTGAGCAGCGGTACTCCTTAGACATATCACATTATTTATTATTATTCTCTAGGAAGAATATATCCTCTCATTGACCTTCATGCACTTATGTATCCATTAATGATTTCCTTTGGGCTTTGTCACAGGACATAATTTGCTTCTGCTTTTGAAATTAAATAGAAAAGGGACCATCTCCTATTTAATATTAATTCTTAGATATCAGTATACATTTTTTCCCAAACACTTTGAAAAAGACTTTTTTCCAAAGTCCCTTTCAAAGCAGATGTATGTTCTGCTGACTCTTCCTCAAAATTACATAACCATTCTTAAAAGTTTTTGCAATCATATAAGACCAAATGTGAAAAGAGATTCCTAAGTTCTGTTAACTGCAAATTGAAGCTTTCTAAAGCTGGTAACACAGTGAAAAGCTCTCTTGAGCCTAGTTCTGTTATTCTTACACTGAGCAGCACCTTACACTATGAGCAAATCCATATGATTTCACCTTTGTGTTCTCTATTTCATACTTATTAAAGTGACCAGATTCAGTCTGTAATGATGAAAGTCTTTTATCAGAGCAAGTTTTGCTGTAGGTTCTTTGCTAGAGAGAATTTCATTTGACCTGAAAAACCTGGAAAGGAATTAAAATATGTTTAGTAAGTTATGTTACATATTTAAATATAACTTGCATATATAAAGGTACAACACCTAAATTGAGCAGAATCACAGGAATATAAGATGGGGAAAGACCTGTAGTATATTACCTAATCTTTATGCCTAAGTATCATTTCTGTCTTTCACTATTAATAGACATGCAATTAGGCTTTTCTTTAAGATGCACATTTTCTGAGGTTCCCATGATGCCCTAAAGCAATCTACCACTAGTCTTAGCAGTTTTTATCTTTATATGATCTTGTCCAAACTGTCAAGAACACAAAGATCTGAGGACTTTAAAATAATTTAAAATAATTCTAATGTGTATTTGAGGAGTATTATTTTTCCACTACCACCCCCATTTTACAGGTCATACTCCCCTTCAGTTCTCTTTAAACTGAAAATAAAAATGCCAAACTTTCAGTCTTCCTCACTGCTCATGTTCTCCAGAACTCTGATCTTTCTTCTGAAGTCTAGTCTATTAATCTCAACCTTTACTGACACAGGAAGTCAAAACTAAACAGAAGTTAATGCAGTGCTGAATAATGGAGAAGGATTACCTTCAAGATAAACTTGGCTCAGACAGACTGATAGAGAATTTCTGTGTTTCAGAAAAGTGTGCTATATCAGCCTGTCATATTTTATATACGTATTTTATAGATTTTGAAGAACATCATAAAATAGCAAAGACATTAGGTGAAAACCACGTCATTTTATATGAAACTGTCTTCATTGTTAAATCAGATGCTGTGCCCAGTCCTGAGGATACTCTGGCCAATTTATACTCTCAATCCCTTCCACTGTGTTCACACCCAATACTTAAGAGAGTAATACAAGATTCAGAGTGATTTTTTGTCCATTATGGCACTTGAGCACCACAGAGGTAATAAAATGCTGTACAGAGATCGATTTATGGACAAGAAATAGACAGGTGGAAGTTCAGCCTGACAAAAGGCAGGTTAAAAATGGAAAGTAAAGCATACTGAAGAGTTTGCATGGCACTCACTTCCTTTTAAAAAGATATATAACTGTCACAGCATTATTTAAGAATGTTCTCATCATTTTTAATATGCTATTTAGAAGTGGGTTTTATCTCATCTAATTTCAGACTTCTGTAAATTGGACATCTAATTTCAAATTATATACTTTTGGCTTCTTAATTAACAATGAGAAGATCAAAGTACCTGTGAGGATCAATATAATCATTCTACATCACCATCTTAAGGGAACTTGAATTGGTATCTGAAAGTTTCATAGACTAAACCCATGGCAATCTCATACCACCTGTTTTGTCTTAGACAACATTCCTTGAGATATCAATGTGAGATGAAGCCAATTCAAAATTTCAGTCCAATCAGATTGCCTGGTTTTGAACAACCCATAGCCTCAACTACTGACAAAGTAGAGGACAGCTTTTACTTAGAATCTTGACTTGAATCAATGAAATTGCATTTGGCGTTCTGTTACATATGCAGTCTTTTTGATACAGGTACAGTCATATCAGATGATTAACATCATTAACATCCTAGTCTTGTAAATTTAGATCAGAAAAGAGACAAAGAGTAAACAACAATTTAAGTCTCTTATGTTAGGAGATCAACCTACCAAAATACCACATATATTTGTCATGGCACTTTAATGGCCTTTGGTGGATTTGAAGTACCAGGTATTATTTGAGATGAGGCTATGCTTGAAGTTCAGTAAATGAAACAGCAGTTCTTTGAGTACCAATCTGCTGTTTGTAGATCACTGTGACAGCATGATTGGAAACATATCATCTTTGCTGCTTTGAAGTTTTAATGCCATCCTCTTTCATTTATGTCATTAAATATAGATGTTGCAGAAGGTTAAAGCCCCTTGTGATATCTTATTTGAAAAAGTGTTTTGCATCTGGAGAGTTGTTTATGGATATATTTGGACAATGCATTTACATTTTATTTCACGGTAAGTTTAGCAATGATACATAATTATACTAAACAGGCTAAAACCTGATAGTGAAGAAAAATAGGATAAAAGGATTGAAAGAAATTATAATTCAGACTCTATTACAAGTTTTAACAATTCCTTCACTCTTTTGGGATAGTAAAGGGCGGAACTTTTGTCATATTTTCAAACTAAACCTGGAAAGTACTAAGCAATCAGGCCCCAAAGGAAATGCCTGATTTAAGTTTGTGAGAAGGATTCTGGAAAAAGACCCAAAAATTAAACAACACACATAAGTACACAAAATTGAAGGAAAGGAAATCTGTGTTATTTAAAACTATTTAATTACAATTTTTTTTCCTTAATATAATTTTTCCTCAGAATAGAATGATAATTAAAACTTAAGACTGAAAACCAGTCATAAATCCAAGGTGAAAAGTAATAGGAAACAAGCTAAGAATGGTAATATGACTAAAGACAATATCTATGATATGAGGAAAATAGGTCGTTCAATTTCTGCCAGTCAATTTTATTAGGGTAAGTTTTGCCTTTGGCAATGAAATTAGTAATGCATGATATTTTCAGCTATTGACTTTGACTGGTAAATATGCCTCACTTCTTCTTTGAAGGGAAGAAGAAGCATCTGTCCTCTAATATTAATTGTTTTCAGTTACTCCATAGCTGTGAAATACAGCCTAAGCTTTCCCACGCAAAAATTAATCTCTGTATTCCTTTCATAAACACCCAATCACCCTTATAGTTTTAGTTTCTTTTCTTTTAGAGGACAGAAATAAACCCAGGACATCTGCCTTAGAATCCCTAAACTCTGTGATTTGTGTCTCCTGGCATTAAAACACTAATGGAAAATCATTGTAATTTTGTATTAAAAAGATAATAAACTTTATTCCAGTTAAAATTAGTGCTATCCAACACTAATAATAAAGCTCTCAAATAGAATAAAAAATCTTGTAGAAAATAATATTTCATGTACTTAAGAATGCTGCTGCTCATTGCATTTAGTCAACAATTTATAAAGTACTTAAATTCCATGGAAGTTACTGTCAGCCCAGAACTCTCTTCATGTCCCTTTTTATCTCTTCTAAGATGATTCTGACCAGAATCCATGGAACATACACTAGCATTTTGATTTCATAGATTTTGAATTTTTTAAAAGTTCCTGGCATCCTGCTGAGAATTTCTTCTGGGTTGAAAATGTGAAGCTAGAAAATCTTTAAGTGTTTCCTATGCAAGAAAGTGACATTACAGCCACAGGAAATGCACTCTTTAGGAGGGCAGATCCCATCATGAGACATTTTGGTTTTAACCTACAAGTTTCAGTTCAGCAGATTTGGAGGCTTATTTTTTTTTCCTTTTTTATTTAATTTTTCCTAATTCTCTTATGTGAAGCTTTAAAATATTCCCATTTTCCTCTCTTCTTTTTGCCCACATAATCATTCACATCCCCTTAAACCAATGTCACTGACAAAGATGACACTGAAAGATATTGAATGATTAATGCCATTGAGGGCACAGCCAGATTTTAGAAGCATGAGTGAGCACCATGGCTCTGTCTGCACCACTCTGAAACTGAGTACTCAAGATGGGCTGTCAGTTCTTGGCTCTGTTTGTTTCCCGCCTAGAGATATTTGCTAGATATATGATGATGATGATATGATAGTGTATTATCTACCAGCAGGCCCAAGCCCAGGGCTGACATCCTGCTGGCCTCAGTCTGTCCCAGCCCCAGGGAAGTTCCTGATGCCCAAGGCTGGGAATGTCCCTAGCTGCCCCCTGGCTGCCCTGGAGCTGTCTGGTGGGATGGGTCCTGGCTGCCAGAACCTGTCCTGACATCCCTGGGGAGATCCTGCTTCTCTTAGCCCCAAGGAGCTGCTGGCCTATGCTGCATGCTGAGATATTTTACTCTTTTTTCATAAAATAAAAATTCAGTCAAGATCCTGTCTTGACCAACTGTCTGTCTCTGAGGTCAAAGATTAAAGAGGCCTTGAAGACATTCAGAGCAGAGTGGGCAGCCTACACAAGTCAGCCTGCACATATACAATGTACACAGTGCATCAGAGATGTAGATGTACACAGAAATACCAATGAGGGCCATGCAGGCTGCTCCACTGCAATTACACTCTTCAAATGCACAGCCCTCTCTACCTGCTATTTTCATATTGCAAATGCATGAAGGTCTTCAGAGTAAATCTGCTTTAATTTCAAACACTTACTCCTTTACCTACAAAAAATAATATCCATTAAAAAAAGTAAATAGATTACCTCCAAGCATATGAAGTCTTAATCAGTTAGAAATAAATATTCTGCTGCTGAAATTACTAGTCCTAATGTTTACATGTAAAAAAAAAAAAAGATGGAAAGCTGCTAAGTTATTCCAGCAATATCCAGCTTTGATTTATATGGGTTGGTGCAGATTTGATCAGTGTTGTTAAAAGGATCATAAATTTCACTCTTTTATTTCTGAAATTTTACTGCTTTGTCAAAACACCTTTTGAATGTCATGCTAAACTTCAACTTTTTAGCATAAATATCAGCTTTCTAAGGAGATTTTCCAATAAGTTCATATTTAGCTCCAAATTCTAAAACTCTTTTGCAAGATTTTCAAAGAGCAGAGAATCAACTCTGAAAATATTAGCTTTACAGAATGAGATGCAGTATTGTCCTCCAACATGTCAGAAAAAAGATCACAAATTCAAATCCTGTTTTGAAAAGTTTCAGATATGCATTTTTTCATTAACAAAAAAGCCTTTTTTTCATTAACAAAATTTGTCATTTGGTTTTACAAAAGGTATCAAACTGAAGTCATGCTGCAGAAACAAGCTGAGTGTTAACATAAGAGCTATCATGGAGTAGTACTGAATTTTTTTGTCTGGTTAATGTCACAGTTATTTCAGCATGGAGTAACAAAATGTAATTCACTGTACAGCTGTTTTATTTGCTTTATTCGTTTCCCACTTCCTAAATATCTTTTGTTCTGCAATGGAAACAAGAAGCAAAATCATGAATGTATTTTCAGATATTTTCACAGCTACCTAT